GGGGGGGCGGAGGGGTGGCCGGCGACCGGCTTAACCCTTTCTGTCCTGGCCGGGCCGCGGGCTGGGCGGGACGCGGGCCGGGCGCGCCCTCGGGAACCTTCGAAGGGGCCGCCCGCGGGAGCTTGCAAGGAAGTTTGGGCATGTCACAGCTGGAAGCTGTTGAACCCTCGTGCCTCGGTTTACTCATCTGTAAAATGGTCCCGTTGCACCTTGTTTTCTTTTTTTGGTAGAGGCAGGGTCTTCCTGTTTTGGTCATGCAATAGTACCAGTTTACAAATGAGTCAACTGCAGCGAAGATGAATGCCCTAAACGTATGTGAAGGGTTTTAGATCAGTGCCTGGCCATCTCACTACCTAAGTGTTGGCTGCTGCCATTAGGATCCTCTGGACCAGCCTGTGTGCTCGATGCTTCCTAAATATGTTCTCATTTGTTCTTCCTCTCAGCCTTATAAGAGAAGCCCGATTACTAATTTCTTTTTTTTTTTTTTTTTTTTTTTTGGTTGGAGTCTCACTGCATTGCCCAGGCTGGAGTGCAGTGGCGTGAGCATAGCTCACTGCTGTTTCGAATTCCTGGGCTCAAGCGATCCTCCTACCTCAGTCTCCCAAGTACATGGGACTACAGGCACATACAGCTAATTATATAAAATTTTTTTGAGTTGGAGTCTCACTCCATCACCCAGGCTGGAGTGCAGTGGCACACTCACGGCCACCCCAGTGTCGACCTACTGGGTTCAGGCGATCCTTCGGCCTCAGCCTTCCAAGTAGCCGGAACTACAGGCACGCGCTTCCACACCTGGCCGATTTTTTGATTCATTATAGAGATGAGGTCTCGCCAAGTTCCCCAGGCTGTTCTCAAACCCGCAGGCCACAGGCGATCGCCTCACCTCAGCCTCCCAAAGTGCAGGGATTACAGGCCTGAGCCACCGTGTACGGCCACTAATCCCTATTTTTCAAGTGGGAAAACAAAATAATTACTATTTGTAAGTGGGAAAACTGAGGTGTTGTTTGAATGCCTTGGCCAAGGTCACACAGCAAGCGGTGCAATCGGGATTTGAACCCAGGCACTGAGATTTCACTCATGTGGCAGGCATGTACTGGGCCCCAGGGTTACTTTGGAAAGCATGACAGGGAAGGCTCTCCCCTCAGGAAGCTTCCGTTTTAGTGAGGGAGATCGACAAGCAAGTGAATAAACATACAAGGTCATCTGCACTGTGAAAAGTAGAACGAATACAACAAAACGGGGTCCTTGAAGGCCAGGCGCAGTGGTTCACATCTGAAATCCCAGCACTCTGGGAGGCCGAGGTGGAAGGATTGCTTGAGTCCAAGAGCTCCAGACCAGCCTAGGCAACATAGCAAGCCTTCGACTCTACAAAAAAAAAAAAAAAAAGGAAAGAAAGAAAACCAAAAAACTAGCTGGGCATGGTGACACATGCTTGGTGTCCCAGCTGCTTGGGAGGCTGAGGAGGGAGGATCGCCTGAGCCCGGGTGGTCGAGGCTGCGGTGAGCCGTGACCTTTTGCCACTGCACTCCAGGCTGGGCAGCGAAGTGAGACCCTGATTCAAAAACAAAAACAAAAGCAGGATCATTGCAAGTGAAGGAGAGGGCATTGTGATTGGATTGAGAGCTAACCACTGTGCCATACCATCCTCGTGCCCTTCACCAGTTCCCCCCCCCAAGTGTTTCAGAAAAGGAAACAGAGAAAGGAATCAGAGTGGGGAAACTGCTTGCCCAAGGCCTCAAAGCCAGCAAGTGTTGGTCTGCTCCCTTCACATCCAGCTTCCCCTGTCCCCAAAGGTGGGACAGTCGCCCCTTGGACTGAGTGAGCATAACTGATTTTTGTCAGCTGGCCTTGGCAAGAATCTTCAACCAGAGCACGTTTCCAGTGAACAGGCTGGGTAAGGCAGAGTAAGGACAGGCCTCAGTGACTTCACAGGCTGGAGGGAAACTCGTCTGCAAAGACTCTTAGTGACAATTCTTTGCCGAGCACCTGCTGTCCTCCGCTGTGTTTTAAGAAAGAACATAGAAGACTGTTAGCTGTCTGTGAGCTGATTCTATAAGTGAGAAGCCACGAAGGAACCCCTCAACCTAGGGCACCACCAGCCCACGCCTTCCCCTGCCCACACCTCAGTCTGCAGCCTTGCAAAGGACACTTCCCAGGTGCTATATCCACCTAGCTCAATCTGAGCAGGTCAGTTCCCTCTGGGCCATAGAGTAATAGAACAGCTAATATTTACTGAGCATGTCTAGTCCGCTATGCACTGCACTGTACTTGGGCTAAGAGTTTTGCACGCATTAATTCACACCTACCCCACAACTCCAGGTGCAGGGGGAGTACGTTTGTTATCTGGAGGATATCCATCTATCTGTAAAGGGTAGAAAGACAAAGTAATGTACCCAACAAAATCAGAGCAACGCCGTTTAGATTATTAAAACAAAAAATTTCAAAACAACCCAAATTTCCAATCTGAGTGGATTGGTTAAGAAAATTAGAGTAAATCATATGACAGAATACCACATAGCCATGAAAAATGAAGAGGAAGCCGGGCACAGTGGCTCACGCCTGTAATCCCAGCACTTTGGGAGGTAGAGGTGAGAGGATTGCCTGAGCCCAGGGATTCAAGAGCAGCTTGGGCAACTTAGTGAGACCTCGACTCCATAATAAATCAAAAAATTAGCCGGGAATGGTGGCATATGCCTGTGGTTTCAGCTACTTGGAAGGCTGAGGCAGAAGGATCACCTGAGCCCAGCAGGTGGAGGCTGCGGTGGCTGTGAGTGTGTCCCTGGCACTCCAGCCCAGGCGACAGGATGAGACTCCGGCTAAAAAAAAAAAGAAGAAAGAAAGAGGTCTATTGACACATTAACACACTCATAATATATTATCGAATGAAAAAGTAGCCGGGCTCGGTGGCTCAGCCTGTAATCCCATGCTTTGGGAGGCTGAGGTGAGTGGATTGCCTGAGCCCGCGGGTTCGAGACCCGCCTGGGCGGCAAGACCTCATCTCTACAATAAATCAAAAAATCAGCCGGGCGTGGTAGTGCATGCCTGTATTTCCAGCTACTTGGAAGGCTGAGGTGGGAGGATCGCCGGAGCCCAGCAGGTCGAGGCTGCGGTGGCCGGAAGCGGCCACTGCACTCCAGTCTGGGCGACAGAGTGAGACTCCAACTCAAAAAAAAAACAAACCAAAAACAAAAAAAGTAGATTGAAAACTAGTTTTATAGTGCAATCCCATTATAACTCTTTTCAGGGGATTATAAGTAATTTGTTTATGTTTATCTATATTTTTCTGTTTTTCTTCTTTGTCATCTTTTTTTTTTTTTTTTTTTTTTTTTGAGTAGGAGTCTTACTCTGTTACCCAGGTTGGAATGTAGTGGCACATTCACGGCCACCGCAGCCTCTGCCTGCTCAGTTCAGGCGATCATTCCACCTCAGCCTTCCAAGTAGCTGAGATTACAAGCACATGTCACTATGCCCAGCTAATTTTTTGATTTATTGTAGAGACAAGATCTCACCAAGTTGCCCAGGCCGGTCTCGAACCCCTGGACTCAGGCAGTCCTCTCCCCTCAGCCTCCCAAAGTGCTGGGATTACAGGCATGAGACACCGCACCCTGCACTGGGTTTTTCCTCATAAACATCTATCACATTGTTCAATGAAAATAAAATAATGTGTGGAAATCTACTCTATAGTCAAGGCCATTGCTATAAGTGGGAAACTGTCCCAGGGAGTCTTTTTTTTTTGAGTTGGATCCTCACTTTGTCGCCCAGACTGGAGTGCAGTGGCCGCTCCCAGCCACCGCAGCCTCGATTTGCTGGGCTCCGGTGATCTTTCCGCCTCAGCCTTCCAAGTAGCTGGAACTACAGGCGCGCGCCACCATGCCCGGCTAATTTTTTGATTTTTATTGTAGAGATGAGGTCTCGCCAAGTTGCCCAGGCGGGTCTCAAACCAGGGAGTCTTAAGGAAGGGCTAGGTCTTAATGATCCTGAAATGGTGATCCTCTCTGCTGGTTCCAGTCTATGTGTCTTGCACTTCTCGCTGTAAAGCATAACATTGCCATTAGGATTTATGAAATAAATGGAAAAATACTGGAAGGTCAGGAGGGAAGGAAGGAGGGGGAAACAGAGAGAAAGAAAAATCCCAGCTGGGCACAGTAGCTCACACCTGCAATCCCAGCATTTTAGGGGGCTGAGGCAGGACATTGCTTGAGCCCAGGAATTCAAGACCAGTCTGGGCAACATAGTGAGACCTTGTCTCTGCAAAAATACAAAAAAATTGGCTGGGCGTTGTGGCCCATGCCCGTAGTCCCAACTACTCAGGAGGCTGAGGAGGAAGGATCACCTAAGCCCCAGAGGTGGAGGCTGCAGTGAGCTGTGATTTGCCATTGGCCTTTAGTTTGGGTAACAGAGTAAAACCCAGACTCAAAAAAAAAAGAAAAGAAAGAAAGAAAAGAAAGATCCTACTATCTTTTTCAAGACCAGGAGCAGTGGCTCACACCTATAATCCCAACACTTTTGGAGACCAAGGCAGGAGGATCACTT